AAGTGTATCGTAAAGTTATATTCGGAAAGAATAAACCAGTTTTATTAAGTAAGGACTTGTGTCGCTAAAGTTTCGTCGGAACGAAGTTACGGGAAGTTAATTAACAAACGGAGACGTAACAATATATATATATATAGCCTTTTACTTTACTGTGTGGCAGGTATTATTTCCTAATTCTTATCATCCGCTAATATAACTGTGATATTTATAATAACATATACATGTCCGTAACTTGTGACATTATGACGACTATTGGATTTTTCCACATTTAAATTCAAAATAAAACTAGATGAATGTTTCTACTTCTTGAAATAAATTTTGTCTTTGACCTAAGAATAATCAACCTAAATAACTTTTTGTGTGGCTTAAATATCTCTCTCTTTTTTTAAAGATAATTACGCGAAATAATCTCTTACTTCGCTGATCAGTATTATTATTGTTTTTGTTTGTTTGTAAAACTAGTTTTTAAAAGGATTTATTTGCACATTTATGGTTGGTTTAAGGGCCCGTGCTTTGGTTCCAGATGAGTATAGTTACATAAGGATATCAGTCCATTGCAAGTTATCCCCAATTATGAGATGGTACCCACTGTACAGCTGGATAGACGATAACAAACATGATGTAAAGTGTTTTTCATAGGCGAAGCTTGAGTCTTTTGTTTGGGTACGCTATTCTGTCACGTGCGCGGGAGGTTATGCAGTAAAGAAGAATAAATTCTAAAGTTACCAAATGTCTCAGTTTCTAGCCTTATTATTATTTGTTTCTGATCAGAAATAGTTGGTTTCAAAGAAAAGAAAAGACGCAGAAGCTTACTGTTAAATTATTTACATTTATCATTATAAGGCTTAAAGTTTGGAACCTTCTGTCTCCTGTTTATGATTTCATGTGTCCATATTAATGTTGTAACCAGGACATCTACCGGAAGGAAAATGGAAACCTTTGCAACCAGACTTCAACTATCTCAAGCGCATGGAACAAGGAGCTGTCAATGTCCGGGAACGTACAGGAATGGACAAGTACGAACGACGTGATGACAACGTGGAGACGAAAGACGATAGTAACTCGTCAGCTCGAGTTCAAGTTTCTGATGATACAGGTTTGTTGAGTATTCTGTAAGTTAATTGTCAAATAGTTAATGTTGTTGCTATTTGTAAATATATATATATATATATATATAGTTAACTAAAAAATTGGTATTGTTGTCGCTTTATTAGAACAACTCTCCCCCCCCTCATAAACAAACAAAAACGTATTGAATTTGAATACAACTTTTCATATTTTGTTTGCGAAATGATTATAATGTTATTATGAAAGTCATTGAAGAACATAAGTTGGTTGATTGAAGAACATGAAGTTGGTTGATTGAAGAACATAAGTTGGTTGATTGAAGAACATAAGTTGGTTGTTGAAGAACATAAGTTGGTTGCTTGAAGAACATAAGTTGGTTGATTGAAGAACATAAATTGGTTGATTGAAGAACATAAGTTGGTTGATTGAAGAACATAAGTTGGTTGCTTGAAGAACATAAGTTGGTTAATTGAAGAACATAAGTTGTTTGTTTGAAGAATATGAGTTGGTTGATTGAAGAACATAAGTTGGTTGATTGAAGAACATAAGTTGGTTGATTGAAGAACATAAGTTGGTTGATTGAAGAACATAAGTTGGTTGATTGAAGAAC